TGTTGGGGCTAGTTCAGCATGTGTATGTGATTGCAAGAGGAGAACTCGTGAGAGTTGCTCTGAGAGTGGGAATGGGTCTCTCAGTCGTTCCGGAATGGATAGAGTGAGTTTTCGATCGGGGATCCGGTGGTTCATGGTTTCCTAACCCTTATGGGTCGAGTGATCGTTGAGATTTAGAGTAGAGTTGCATCTTGGGTAATTCTCGATTGTTGAGAGTGATGATCAGGGGTAAAGTCGATGCCCGGTTTGAGATGGTGATCAGGACACCATGAAGGAGGGGAAAGTATGTTCGAGTTTCGATATTTATGCCTTGAGAGACCTGGGCCAGTTAAGGCCCGGTGGAGCGTTGTGGGAATATCCTTGGAGTTGAGTTGCTGTAGGCTTCGAGGGCGAAGCCTAATATAAATGGGGGAGAATTGTAACATCCCGATATATCAAGAGTAGAGTGAAGGGCTAAAAGAGTAAATGGGGAAAGAGCAACTCGGCGAGTCCATGTGTGGACTCGGCGAGTAGAGTCGCGACTTGGTCACGTGTTAAGTGGCCGACTCGGCGAGTCAGTATAATGGACTCGGCGAGTAGGCACTGAGTGGAGAAAACCCTAATTCTCGGGGTTGAGCCCTATATAAAGAACATTATGTTTTCCTCCCAGCCTCTTTATCACCCCTTGAGCCCTAGAAAAACCCTAAATCGCGGAGAAGCACCCTTGTTGAGTGGATTGGAGCTTGGAGAAGTAATTATTGAAGGAATTTTGGGAGATTGAAGGCATGGAGCAATGGGCTTTGCTTGGATTCGAATTACCTTGCAGTTGGGGCATCTCTTGGAGGTAATATCTCATTCTTGGGCTGTTGTTATGTTGTTTCTTCATTTTGGGGTTTGTGGGAACTTGTCTATGGATGTAATGGGAAGTCTAGAGGTTAGATCTGAGGTTGCTACCTCAGATCTGGAAGGGAGAAGAATCAGAGAGCATGAAAGTCCCTGTGTTGGAGTGCTTAGTGAAGCTTACATGTCCCAAACCCTAGCCCAATGTGAAAATGGCCTGGATCTCTTTGGATTCACGTAAAGTTTGCCACTTTACGTGATGGATGAGTGGTAGGAGGCTAGATCTATGTTTTGGAGCAATTGCATGGCCTGGAATGCTTCTGAATGGATTCAGATCGGTGGTACTTGGCGAGTCACATGGGTGAACTCGGCGAGTTGCTTGAAGATGAGCTGGGACTCGACGAGTTGGAAGAACAACTCGGCGAGTCGGATGAAGATGGCCTTGGACTCGGCGAGTTGTATGAACAACTCAGCGAGTAGGTTGTAGATAACCATAGACTCGGCGAGTCTGTTCTTGGACTCGGCGAGTCTTGTCGAAGAGTTCCGGTATTCTCTGGTTGAGTCGAGAATCGGTGAGTCAAGGGATGACTCGGTGAGTTGTGTGCAAGAGGACTCAGAAGTTGTGGGACTCGGCGAGTCTCGGGGGGGGGGGGACTCGGCGAGTTAGGTCGCGGATTGAGTGAAGTTCTGAGTATGGAAACTCGGCGAGTCATCAGGTTGACTCGGCGAGTAGGGCTAGTCAGAGGTTGACTTTGACCTTGATTTTGACCAAGGGTTGACCGTTGACTTTTAGGGTCTGGTCAGCGATGTGGCCTTTGGGCCAAGAGAGGGGTAAAATAGTCTTTTACCCTTAAGAGGGTGCCATGAGAGGATTGATTCTAGTCTCGAGAGTTATATTCATGAGAGTATTTGCCTTTCGTGTTAGGCGGTGGTGAGTTCAAGATTTAAGTGTGGGGATATCTGCTTTCTGCTTGCCAGGTGAGTCTCCTCACTATACTTTACCTTGAGTAGGTAACCAGAGTTATGTGACAGAGTATTTGTATGCTATGTATGCTATGTGTTGTACTGCATTATTTCTATGTGATTTATGTTGTGCATGTTGCAGAGTTGGAACCGAAGGGTTCCTAGAGTTAGAACCGGAAGGTTCACAGAGTTAGAACCTGAGGGTTCACAGAGTTTGGGTGCACGGACCCATAGAGTTATAGCCTCGAGTGGCTTATATGTGTTATGTGTGTGGTATTTTGGGGAACTCACTAAGCTTCGTGCTTACAGTGTTTTGTGTGATGTTTTGCAGGTCCTTTCAGTATCACGGGACGGCACCGGCTTGATTGTACACACCAGAGAAAGAGTCATGTTTTGGAGGATCCTGGTTTTCCATACAAGCGAAAATGGAGTTATGTTTTGTAAATAAGATTTTTAAACAAGTGTTTCTAAGATTTTAAAACGTTTATTTAAAATGAAAAATTTGTTTGAAATTTTCGGTGTTACACTAAGTCACCAATATAATGGATTACGAGTGATCATATGTCATTGCTTCAATTAATTTTGATTTTAATTAATGAGTTATCCAAACTATCGCTCTTCTAAAATGCTTTGAGTTATATTCATGTATCTTTATTATTTTATTTTCAGGAATTATGAATTTGAAATTTTCTAACGAGGGTTAGAGGATTCTAGAAGGTTTGCTTGTAGCACTGTGGTCCATGAGTCACTCATAACATCATCATTGTTGGTTATTAATAACTCTAGATAATACTTATCTAATTAGTCCTAATTAATCCATGTATTTGTCTTGTATATATAATATATGTGTCATGTATCGTACATACGAATGCCAATATCTTGTTAGTTGTTACAAAATCATTTTTCACTCTACATTTGACCTTAAACATGCAGACGTACGAGCTCTTGTTAGTTGTTACAAAATCATTTTTCACTCTACATTTGACCTTAAACATGCAGACGTACGAGCGTACATGCAAAGGGGTTTTGGATTTTACAAACGAGCTTTAGGGTTTTGAATTTAATTGATGTTTTGACCTCTTTAATTCTCTCATACGTCTCATAGTGGTTACAAATTAAAGTTATAAAGCCACATCACATCCAGTTCTAGAGGTGTTGATCGGGTAAATTTTTCAGGTTTCGAGTAATTCAGGTTTTTCATGTTAAGAAAAATACCCCTTACCCGACCCAAATTAAATTCGAGTAATTCAAGTTTGGGTAATTCGGGTAGTGGGTCGGGTTTGGGTAATTTAGGTATTACCCGATTTTTTATTTTATTATTTTTTTAATGGCACCTAAAAATAAAGTTAGTGAAATAAATTTGTCGTGCTCAAACTTTGAAGATTGATATTTTTTAGTCAATAATAATTAAAGATTTGTAAATTAAAACACTAGATGTGTTTGTCTTGAAACTCACATAGTCATGTTACATTGTCATTGACTGATTAGATTAGAATAATAAAGTTCATGTGTTTTTGATGTTTTGAAGGATATTGCAACAAGAGTTATTAATCATGGGATTGATTTGGTGAACACACCTATCTCGAAGGTGATGATATGGAATCTGATTTTTGTTTGGGAAAATACCGGCAATAGTAAAAAAAATGAGTGGTATTTTCAAAAAATAGACATAAAAATGGATTTTTCCGGATGTAGACATGCATTCCGCGGAGGTAGCTCCGCGGAATGACAAAATCGTAAATAAATCAATGTATTAAAAAAACACTAAAGATCCATTCCACGGAGCTACCTCCGAGGAATGAACTCATTCTGCAGAGGTAGCTCCGAGGAATGGATCTTTAGTGTTTTTTTTTTTCATATCGATTATTCGGGGTTTAGATTTATTCCCCCAACTAATTATTTTTAAGAAAAGATTATCATACTATTATAATCTTTACTTGAAAATAATTAGTTGGGGAATTAATATAAACCCCGAAGAATCAATGTGAAAAAAAAAAAAAAAAAAAAAAAAAAACTCAAGATCCATTCTACGGAGCTACCTCCGCGGAATGCATGTCTATATCTGGAAATGTCTATTTTTGTGTCTATATTTTGAAAAAAACCCTCATTTTTTTTACTATTGCCGGTATTTTCCCTTTTTGTTTTGTCTGATACTCTTGATGTGGAAGCGCTACAGAAGATGGTGGAAGGTAAGGTGTTGTTTGTTTTTTCGAAGCGAAAATTCTTGAAGTTTGCGGACCACCTACGCAATCCTCTGTAGCAGAAGAGGTGGAACAAACGACTACAGCCCATAATAAGAAGCATGTTTGTTTTTTAACATCTGCAAACTGTTGTAGTAAACTGAAGTTTAAATAAACTAATTTTATAAACTGAAAATAGTTTTCAACACCGAAATTTAAATAATTATAGTCTTAAAACAATGAAAGAATACTAAAAAAACATGTAAAAAAACAAAAATATAAAACTTTTTAAAAAAAAACTTACAAAAATATAAAAGAAGCTAACAATTTTATTCTATAAATTGTATCAAATCCGTAAATAAAAGTTTAAAAAAATCTAAGTTTAAAAAAAAAAAAAAAAAAAAAGTTAAAAAAAAATAAGTTATACCAAAATTCTAAAAAAACACTTCAAAAAAATAAAAGTTGAAGATGTTTGAAGAGACAAGTCAAGTGTTGCACCACGCAACACACGCGCAGATATTTTGGAGTCTGAAGTCTTTCAAAAAACAAACTGTTGCGAGAAGGAAAGTGTTGCGCGTATGTTACCCCCGGCAACAGAAAGTGATTTGAAGAGGTTTTTAAAAAAAAAAAAAAACAAACAGACCTTTGTTTGTAACAAATAATTTATATCGGGCTTAATTACTTTTTGATGAACCTTTTCTAATCCTCCTTAATAAATCAAGATTTTTTTGCCACATGTCAATCTCTCGTGAGTTTTGATACTTGTCATTTTGTGGTATTTTTCAAATAAATATTATCCACTTGTCAATTTTTAATTTGTTTCAATTTTTAAAATTAAAATCATATACTTATAGATGTAAAGTAATAAATATCATATATATGATATTAAATTGCAATAAATATATTTTATCCTTTCTTATTTTAAAGTTGTACATTAAAAAATATTTTCTGTTTACATTTTAATTTAGTGTTTAACTTTTTTTTTTAAATCAACCCGTGTAATACACGGGTCTCTCACCTAGTCTTATTAATTAAATTATGAATATTGGAGAAGTTACACGGTTGCCTGTTATAGAGAAGGGGGAGGTTATTGGTTTAGTTTGCATATCGGATTGTTTACGTGATGTTGACAAAATTACGAGAAGGAAAGCTGCTAAGCTTATGGCAACGAATTGGGATGCCCTTGAGAGGTATTGTTGAAGGATTTAATGAACAAACAAATAAAATCATAAATAATTTGATTGTATAATGAGTGAGATTGTAAACGGACAACAAATTGTGCCGTTAAACTTTTTTAAATGGTAAAACTAATTTTTTTAAAGACTACATACTAAGATCTAGAATGTTTTAATTATATTTTTTTTTTGGTTAATGATAAATTTCATCATATAATTATTTGAGAGTTATCTTTTTTTTTTCCGCTGTATGATAGTTCAAAAAACGATAAACCGGACCCTCAAAACACGATTTTGGATGTATTTGACCATTGTGACATTTAAAGTGTATTGAACTGTATAACAATGGATTGGCATATTGACTTTTCATACGACTGCAATTACAAAGTTTAATACAATATATTTTAAAAAAAAATAATTACAAAAAACTTCTTTTTTCTCATTGAACATATACTCCAATTATTATTGATCGGTGACGAACACGAACGAAGAACGGACGAGGGATTTTTTTGACGTAGAGAAAATACAACGAGCCTCAACGAGGGAAATTGAGATTTGGGAATTAGGATGGATAAACTCATATAGGGACATTATTTGTTAAATATATTTCGGGTAATCGGGTATAACACGAAACCCAAAAAACTTACCTTTTACTTGATCTGGAAAAAAAAATCGGGTTATCCAAATACCCGAAAAAATTAACCTGATACCCGAAAAAAATCGGACGGATAATTCGGGTAATGGGTATTTTCGACAAGGCTAACATCCACATTGACTGAAACCCTAGAAAACTAGTGATGTTGCTAACATTGCAATGCAAAATGAAGTTGTCTCATAAGCTATTGAACATAATTGGAACAATCGATCCTTTATAACCTCTTTGTGCCATTTTTGTTAAATAAAAGAGTCATTTAAAAGTAATGTTCAATTTTATATAATTCTATAAGTCGATCCTTTATAATATATACTGTTTTATAATATAAACTTTTAAAAATATTTAATACATCAACACATCAATCATTTATAAAACCACAGTTGTGAAATCCAATGCTCTAAAGATTTAAGCCTTATTCGATCTGTACATTGATATAGAACTAAAAAGATAACCCGCTTGCCAAAAAATGCAATAATAGCGGGAAGGGGCATATCTGTAAATTTAAATGTGGCCTTCCATTGCAAGAACACGTGAGGTGCGGTACGTTTGCTTCTCACTTTCTCTCTCCAATATTTTCTAACATGCCGCTCCCGAGTTCAACATAAGGAGAGAAAAGAAAGGAAATGAGAGGAAAACAAGAGATAATTATGCTCCCGAGTTTCATTAAAGGAAGGAAATGGAAGGATTATTTTCCTTCCTAACTTTTCTTCCGATTTGGAAGGATTCAGAAAGAAAGAACAAAATGTTTAATTTTCCTTTTATTTCTCTCCGACTCGGAGCACAAAAGAGAAATCTTTTTTCCTTTCTCTTCTCTTCTTTTCTCTTCTTATTTCTTTTCTCTTCTCTTTCTTTTTCTTTGCTACAACTCACGAAGCTGGGGTGTAACGGAATGCGTATTCTCTCTCTTACTCTTTCTCTCCCTACAAGCATCTGAGAAAAGATACGCAGAACCTTCATCTTTATGATCATGGCGATTTAAGTAACCCCCAATCCATTTCTCTTCAATTCTTAAATCATGAATATTTTCCCCTAAAGAACAAGTATTAATTTTCAATCGATAAAGTTGCTGCGATTTAAAAGGTAATCTATTAACTGTAGCTAATTGTAATTGTTCTGTTTTCATTTAAATCCACGGAAGTCATGAGCTTCTTAAATAATGCTCTAATTACTGCTTTTTCTAACTTCATCTTTTAGTCAATCATGCATACCATTTAACACTTGATTCCTTTTGCTTTTCCTGCTTATTATTTTCTGTTGAATATCTATTGTGGACTATGTAATGTTAGCATTTAGCAACATCGCCCGTTTATTCTTGAGTAAACTTTTACAGCTTCACCGTGAAAATGGAAACTTACCATCGGAAACGATTAAAAAAACCACCATTAGCGCGAACAATGTAACTTCTCTCTCTCTCTCTCTCTCTCTCTCTTGTGTGTGTGAGAGAGAGAGAGAACCTGTGATGATGCCATTAGGGCATGGCATTGCATGTATTACAATCAGCATTTCGCCTTTTCTGTTTCTGAAATCCGTATTGTTTTTTTTTTCCTCTCTATCGTCCTTTATCACTGAGTAGAGATGTACTAAAAAGCATTAATGGATGCAGGAGATAATGAACTTGAAAAGGCAAGAAATAACCAGCGTACTAGACGGCGCACAAGCACACAGACATCACCTTTGGTCAGGCAATTCCTGCTTCAAAGGAATGGTATAATTTCAAAATTATCCTTTTAGCATATAATACTTCTAGATCCAAACTATTTCTTTCAATTCTTCCTTTCTCGATTATCTATAATGGCTTCTCGTTATTTCATGTGTAAAGCAGACGAAATCCTAGAAGAGGAGGTCCAACCAGGCTTCATTTACGAGATCTACCACAAAAACCTTCCTCCTAGAACTCATCTTCAACTGAGATCCGTTCGCGTTTTTGTGGTAATCAATCACTTCGTGAATCAGTGACAAAAAACTGTTTTATTGCGATTAGATCTGAATATGTTTTCGTCTGACTGATGGATAATGATTATTTTCAGATATCCGAGCATTCTGTCATTACGAACTTATTTCAGTCATGGAATCATGGAGATGTATCCTGCATTAGAAGAGAAGTTCGTAATGGGAGTAAAACTGGCAGGCAAAGTTGTTTTTCGGCATGTTCCATCTCAGAATTCGACGAGAAGAAGCATCTGCAGAATTTCTGGCTGGTGAACCCAAACTCTCAAGTCGGGTCGGGTCATGCTGCTATGAAGATTGACGAGATCGGATTGGCAAAGGAACTGAAGAACAATGCGTTGGTAATTAAGGTGGGGTGTAAGAAGACAAGTTATGTTTATTGGTAGACGTACCCAAAGATATGAGAAATTAACACGACGCAGTTTCTTCAAGCTACGTATGTGTTCATGGAGATGAAGAAATGAAGGATCGACAAGATGTTAACAATGGTGGATATGAGGAAGAGGAGGAGGGGAGGAAGTTAATGACGACGAAGGAAGGGTGATGAAGATGATGATAATCTTAACAGAAAGTTTGAAAAAAAAACAAGAAATTTGAGAAAAAGAAAGCGTGTGAAACAAGCGAACAACCAGTTATGGCTAATCGATCAATAAAAAACCCATGAACAAATGCAAGAAATTAGGGCTCATTAAAGATCCCACATAAAGGTGGTCAAAGGAGAGTTATCTGGCGGCGGAGCTCAGTCTTCTGATAGGGACACTGGTCTCTTAGACCACCACCTGAAACAACTAGCTAACAAGGTGGCGATTTGAGGTTTCGAAGGTCACACAACGCTGTAGGAGCAATGGAACATTGGCTTCAAAGTGCTGATCTTCTTAAAATTAGGAAAGACACCGGAGTAAGTGATCCTTTCTGGACTCAAACGCCTGGTTGGAAGCCCATTGATTCTCGAGTTATTTGCAAAGAGGGGGCACTTTTTAGAATGTGTTTGTAGAAATGGGGATGCTGCCCCACAGAATAAATACGTATGTTGAAATGAAGCATCCCTTACCACTTACAACAATGGACCTTTCTTTTTTTATTATATTATGTTTAAATTTTATCTTTTATATATTTTTTCTACATTTACCTAACTATTTACCTAATTTATGTAGCTTAAATATATTATTAAATTTTATATATAGCATTTAATTATTCTTACTACACAAACGATCTCATTTATATTTCAAAATTTTAGAATATTATATACTATTTTAATTATACAAATACAATTAACATATAAATATTGTTAGAATCATATAAATTAAAAAATAAATAGTAATATTTATATATGATTTGTCAAATCAAATAGTGAATCTGTAAAAGCAAACACTCTATCCAAAACAAAAGCAACACTCTATCCAAAATAAAATGTCACTATTTATTGAAAACTCTTAAAAAGCTAAAGCTGCATGAACTGTCATGTCTAAAAGTTTTAATTGAACTAAATTTACTTTTTGATGCTATAAATTTGATCTTACGAGCCAAGGTTCTTCATCATTCTTACAAAATTGTTTCCACAAATATACATTCTCAGTCTTTCATGCTTCCATAATATTCACATTATTAGTTCTTTCATATATTAAACATAAGGTATATATAATTTCTAAATATTTTTGCATATTTTTTTGTCAAAACGCTATATATATGATACTAATTTACATCTGTTATCATACAATTTGTCTTGCAGTTATATTTATGGCTCTAAATCGTCCATTTATGATTACTCTCTATTGGGGTGGCAATGTTGAATATGAGAATGGAATCATCAAGGGCGACGAATCAACTATGTCTGCTTCAGACATTATTAGGCAAAAAATACGGTATGAACAATTTCAAGATTTGGCTTATGCACTTGTTGGAGTCGAAAAATCTTCATATAAGTTGAATATGTCATTATGTTACCAATATTCTGGGAGATCTAATATCGCACCACTTATAAATGATTCAACCTTAGACATGTTGTATTATTTAGCTGCGACTGATGAAAATTATTGGGGTCAAGTTTGTGTTGAAATTGAGAAAATAGTGATACCTACAAATACTAGTTTGGTAGATCTCCTTCGTAATTTTGAAGTACCATTTCCTTTGCCGAGTGATGATAGATTTGAGCCAAATAATGAGTTTGGATTTGATGATCCCAACTCAGAATGCAGTAGTGAGTCATTAAGCCATATTGAGGAAGACTCTGATGATGTGAGTGACAAATTAGTTGTAGACTTTATGAATGATGTTGGAAATATAGGAGATGATGTCGTAGAAAATTTAGAGGACAACATTCATATAGATGTTTGGAAGGAAACAGAAAACAAAATTAGGTTAGGAATGCAATTTGAAAGTAAGCAGCAGGTGAAAAATGCAGTAATACTTTGGTCTATTAGTCAAAATAGAGAGTTTAAGGTGTATGAAAGTAAACATAACAAATGGGTAGCAAAATGTAAGACCGAGGTGGGTGAAGGAGAAAGCTCTAGTTCTATGCACCATACACAACCTTGTCAATGGTATATCCGTGCAATTAAGAAGAAAAATAATCATATGTGGCAGATTACACATTGGGTGGATGAACATAATTGTTTTGGATCTTGTATTGGCAATAATAACAGAAATCTAAACTCTAGAGTTATTGCCTCATACATTCTCCATTCAATTCAAAAAGATGTTGCTTACCCGGTGAAACATGTACAAGCAGATATAAAAAATCATTTTCATGTTGACGTTTCTTATTGGAAGGCATGGCATGGAAGAAGAAAAGCCATAGAGACCATTTATGGAACTTGGGAGAGTAACTTTGTTGAGTTACCCAAGTATATTGCAGCTTTGCAGGCTTCAAACCCTGATACAATTGTCAAGTGGTTTCATAACCAAAATAGCTCATCACAAGTGGCAAAATTCAAATATATTTTTTGGGCTTTTGGACCAGCTATTAAGCATTTCATTTGTGTCGCCCTGTAATTTTCTATCGATGGTGCTCATTTGAAGGGTTCTTACAAAGGAAAATTGCTTGTTGCTGCTTCAAAAGATGCTAACAATAATATATTACCAATTTCTTATGCCATTGTTGACGAGGAGACAGTTCATAGTTGGTGTTGGTTTTTGGGTCATTTTAGAAATTTTGTTGCTCCAAATAGACAATTATGTGTGTCTTTCTGATAGGCACAAGGAATCATTCATCGCAATGGAAAATCTAGAGGAGTGGAAAGAGCCATTAGCATACCATCGTTTTTGTCTGAGGCATGTCAGAAGTAATCTCATGAAAAGGTACAAGAATGTAAACCTTAAAAAATTTGTTGGTCTATGGGTAGCACCACACAAAAAAGGAAGTTCACTAAGTATATAAGGGAAATAAAAGCAATCAATATGGAAGCTTGGCAGTATTTGAGGGAAATTAAAAGAAGTCAATGGTGTCTTTTATATGATGAAAATCACCGATGGGTTTCTTAACGACCAATATCTCTGAGAGTATGAACAATGCATTACGAGGAGCGAGACAATTGCCAATTAGGGCGTGTATTGACCTTACATTCAATAGAACTGTGCAACTTTTCAGAAAGCATAGTGGTATTGCAATGAACTGCATTACACCTCTACCAAAATGTATGTGGCGTCTCTTTCTTAAACGTGACACTCGTGCACAAAGTCATGTTTTATCTGAGTTTCACTACAATGAAGGTGTTTACAGAGTTGTCACAAGGTCACAGATAAATGGAACCGGAGGAAATACACAGACTGTTAATTATTTTCAACATATGTGTACTTGTGGTAAGTGGCAAATGGAGAGATTTCCATGTTCACATGCACTTGCAGTTTGTCGGAATAGAGGGGACAACCCTCTTTCCATTGTGAACAATGTGTACACTACTATGACATACAGACAACAATATAATTTTGGGTTTGTACCACTTCCTCATGTTGATTATTGGTTGGATTCAAACTGGACGATTGAAGCAGATTACTCAAAACTTTCTGTTCATCGAGGACGAAGGCGTGCAAATCGAATTCATAATGAGATGGACATTCGTCATCCTGATGAACCTCGTAGATGTACACTATGCCACCAGCCAGGTCATAATAGAAGAAATTGTTCAAATTCTCAACCAAGATTCAATGAGTAGTAAACTATGTTTTTGTTTTATTGTGTTGTAATTTTATGTTTCATTGATCTTGTATTTCCTGTGTGATTTTGTATTATGATTTTTAAATTTTAGTAATGTAATCTTAGTTATGTGTTTTCTTATTTCTTATTGTTATAATATTAAATATTAGTATTAATGGAAATGTATAAATGAGATATATTTGGTATTAAAAACTAATAAGCATTAGTTATAAATTGAATAATATATTTACATTAAATATTATTAAATTAAGTAAATGTATAAAATACAAATAAAAAATAAAATAAGATGTAGTGGTAACATATTTCATAAAATAAGGATCAATGTTGAATATTTTTATGGACTATTTTGTATATTTAATATTTACGTAAATATAATAAGTAAATATAATAAGATGTAGTAAAAATGTAGAAAAAAATATATAAAAGGATAAGGTTTGAACATATTATAAAAAACTAAAGACTATTGTTGTAAGCTGTGAGGATCAATATATATTTACGTATTCATTTAGTGGGCCAGGAGCTCCATTTCTACAAAGGCATTCAAAAAAGCTCCATTTCTACTAACCTTTTTGAAAACTGCCCCATTTTTGCAAATAACTCTACGGTGGACTTTGTAGGCTGCAGCCTGCATGTTTGTAGGCTGCAGCCTGCATGTGTAATTGGTGCATTAATTAGTATTAAAAAGCAACCGGAATAATCAGACAAGGGAGAATATATCTTTGTTTCCTAAAGATAAAATTTGGATTTTACATTATCTTTTATTAAGACTCCAATGTGTGCATATCTAAAGTAAACCGAAAGTTTAATTAACGACAAAGGAATTGAAGTCAGAATTTTGAAATAGTTAGAAGCTTATTTAATATGATAAAGTCCGTACAAGTAGGGAATCAAGAGGATTATCCCAAAGGATTTAATCATTGTTTAATTCTTAAGCTAAGACCACTTAATTAGTTGGTTAGCGAGTGCCACCTCTACTAATTCTTCTTGCTGAAGAAACCACTAAGGACGCCATGTAGTGGCTCCAACTAATTAAAGAGTTAGTGATGAAGACATGTTGTATTACTTTTTTTTAGGAGTAGTTAGCTTTTGTAGAGAATTCGAGGTGTATATTGATCCAGATAGATGTATTGGATGAATATATCCCCTAATCTTTGTTGCGTGATGATATGAAACCGTACAATAGGGTATAAAACAATTTATTATTTCCTGGTCCAATATATATATATATATATATATATATATATATATATATATATATATATATATATATATATAATATATATATATTATATATATATATATATATATATATATATATAATATATATATATATATATATATATATATATATATATATATATATATATATGGCACATACATGCACAACCCAAAAGCCAAAACAAGAGGAAATTTATAACATGTGGTATGAAACGGGAGGAATCAATTTGTATAACTGGCCCAAGATGAAATTAAAGGACAATTATATAGGCTCACTAACTTATACAAAAATCGATATCAATAAACTTATATTTCGACTCTTGTAGACTTTCATTCATATTTCCCTTGTCTTTAATTCAGTGCTCAATTTTCTTTACCATAATAATATATCATTTCAACATTTTCTTTATTGTTTTTGGCATAGAATCTGCCAATATAATTTTAACTTTCCATTATTTGTTTTCTGATTAAAAAGGCGGTTAGTATATATGGACAAACATAAGACAACCGAGTCCTGGTATCACATGTCTTTTTTTCTATTTTGCTGCATCTTTATATAATGCTTTATATGGTGTGGGATAGATAAGATAAAACTTTCGTAAGAAAAAGCGGCTTCAAATTAACTTCATATATAGCTTGCATAGCTTGGTTACGTAAAGTAAACTCATGATATTGCTATTAACCTTTCTTCATTAAAACATGTTTTGGAGCTTATTCTTTTCAGTTACAGATATTACTTCTCCAAATATAGATCAAGAACCAAATCAGTAGTAAAGCATGGAAATCTCCCCATTTGTCATCACGGTCTTAATTAATGGGACAGAAAACTGTGTCATAATGGTATCTTGATATCCATATGTCATTTTGCTTCATCATCAGTATGCACAAGTTGTCTGTGTGCACGAAGTGGAGACAAATAAAATAAACTGTAAATTTTGCTTTAAAGTTAACTGGTGAAGTATGATGATACCTATATTATTGATAGGTATATATTATCTCAGGACATGAACATAAAGGAACCCAAGAACAGATTCAATCAACCCATGTTATTATAGGGTCTAATGCAAACTATTATGATGTATACGGGTAGTTTGAGGTTATCCAAGTAATCTTGTAGAATATAATTTATCAAAGTAATAACATCAATGATCAATGACAGAATGACCAGAACACAGCGTTTGGAATCTTTGAATATTTCTTGTACTTCAGTTGCTTCTAGTTGCAATTAGGCCTCCTGAACTCTGACGAAGGCAACCAGAATACAGTAAATTTTTATAGTGGCCCTAGCATTTAGATGGGTGCTAGAATATGAATGATGTGAAACATATTAACACACTTTTTAACATCGAATTCTGACACTAAGAACAGTATAGCTCCTCAATAACATCGTATCACTCATTGCTTATCAAAAGGTAGCGAAATTACATACATACGGAAGTTAACACATAAGTTATCATTGCCTCACTGGCCTCGGAAGAACAAAAAAGAAGGCTGAAAACATTTCTTTCTGTTCCTGTTCTAATGACTAGAATGCATCAATCTGCTATTCATAGTTGTGTTAACATAGCTCCAATCTCTACAATATTGTAGGAACTTATGTTTGACTAAAGCCATATGGCATTAGCATCGAGGAGCAAGGGTACCAGTTGACCCTTGAGATGAAGGCTCATAATTTCATTGGCACCACCAATGAGCTCCTCTCCTATGAACACAGCTGGCACACTTGGCTTGCACCCTAATCCTCTCAGTTCCTTCTCTATCTGCTTCCCTTGTGGATGCTCATCTACCTCATAAACTCTAGGATTTGCCCCAAAACTGCTTATCAGTGTCTTAATTGTGTAGCACATGCAGCAAGAGCTTTTGCTGAATATAACCACGGGCCTTTCATTCACCAGTGCTGTAACCAAAGCCATTTCTGGAAATTCTAGCAGTCGATGTTTTATAAAACAACACTAGCTAATTTAGTAGAATAAACCGTTGCAAGTGAGGTTGTTAGAGGCTGTATGTAGAAAGTTTGGTGTGATGTTTACTGTGAGTAATGTAAGCTACTACCATGTCTATATATAGTGATAAGTCTTCAACTTTTTGGTCGGTGGTACTTTTTAGATTCTGAAAAGAACATATTCTTTATCAGTCTCGCAGATGATAGGAAATTACTGTTGTGTAGCATATAACAAATTAAAAGTGGCTTCTCGTTAGTTGATATACATGGCATAAAAGTACATCTCGGAATGACATCTTTAACCTTGAGAATCTGTTATAAAGTTTTTGCAACTACATCTGTGGGAGGGTGATTTAGTAATTACATGTCATGTGTGAACGTATATTTGTCAACTAATTTAAAGCCTAGAGCTTTATTTTTTTCTTAAAACATCTGTTTAGATGCTTATCCATTGAAATGTTGATAAGGTCAAGCATTTAAAGAAAAGCTCAAGGACATGATGCATGGAATTGTCAAATATGTATGACAATTATTACACAGCATCCATACAGTTACTTGCATTCTTTACTTTGTCCCACAAATTATCATCCATGTGAATCACTTGCTTAGTGTATACACAATGTGCACAAAATGTTATTTCTCACATCAAGTCATTCTTTGTGAATAGGCTTGTTTAGC